CAATCAATCTATTCCTTCGTGGTCAACATGATACGCAAGCAGGCGAATAAATTAAAATTATAAACGATTAACAAATAAATCAGTAATACGTCAAAAAATATTTGAATATTAACAGTAATCAACACACGTCCAAGCAGGCAGCTTCCCAGCACTTGTTTTGTTTAAACGCCGTCATAGCCACCTTACACTAACCGAACTTATATGGTAAGGGAAAGGGAAATATTTCAAAAAGTAAAAATATGACGCATATTCAACCTTATATAAAATTGCCTTAATTTTTACTGCTAAATAGGACAAGATTATAAAAATAGGTAGTTTCTATTAATTTTTTTTGTTCATTTTTTAAAATTTCATTTTCAATCTTAATTTTCGCGTACCCTGTATTAATATGTATCGAAGTTGCTTATGAAATCTGTTATTCGAGTCTATTTTAACGTCATTTCTCGCATAAAAAATTAAAAATGTCAAAAACATGAAAGAATGAAGAATGAAACACCCTGTATATTAGGGTGCTTAAAAAAAGTATTTTTTTATTTATTTACTCTCTCAAACCTATCTTTTTGATATAAAAAAAATCCTCACCAAAGACGAGCCCGGTAACTGAACTCTAAGGGGTCGCTATTTTTATTTTATTAACTTGGGAAACATTGTTTTTTCACTAAAATTAAATTTACGTATAAAGTTCGCGATTTTTTACAAATAAACAATTTATGTCGTTAAAGTTGAGTCTTTAAGCGTTCCAAAACCGTATAACAAAGTATGGTTATCCTTAACAGAAGATTAATTACAGCCCTTAAGCTTTGAGAATTGTTTAAAATATCTAATCATAACTCAGCACAGTCTTTAACAGAAGCGTCAACTTCTGCAAACTTAGAAGTTTCGACAAAGACTCTAATGAATTGTGAGGTTAGAATCTGTATGCTTGTAGAAAAATAATTGTAAAACTTTTCTTATACCCGGTAATTTTTGTTTACTTAATTTTCTACATTAAAAACCAACCAAATAAATTTTCTTTTGACAACTTACCGGATGATTTAATATAATTAGTGCTGCCACCTACACTACGTATTGACAACCATTTTAAAATTGGATAAAAAATTTGAGAAATTATGTAGATAAAAAATTATCGGAAGCTATTTCTGAAAAGTTCAAAATTCAGTAATTTTTAAATTGCCATAATTAATATTCTTTTAATAATAATCATACTTCGTTATAGGCGAACGTTATATGTAAATTTAATTAAATGTAAAACTAAAATAAAAATAGCGACCCCTTAGAGTTAAGGTACAGGGCTCATCTTTTTTTGAGGATTTTTTTTATATCAAAAAGAAACATTTGAGAGGGTGACCTAAAAAAAAAATTAAAAATCTTTTTTGAAGCACCCTACTGTATATACAACATTCAAAGATTTGTAATACAACATTTGTAGATATAAGATAAACGGCCCATTGAAGGGTGGGGGCCCCAGGTGTGATCCTTGCGGAACACCACACGCCACTTTAGGATGTTAACCATTCCAAAGGTTTTTCCTGCGTTCCAACGTTTCCAGTGATTCCAGCAGTGGGGCGAAGGGGGAGTAATTTTTTCAGGGTAGCAGACTAAACTTTCGAACTATTTAGGAATATAGCGCGAGTTTTCACGCGACACCGCGAAATTCCCGAAACGCCGAAAGAACCCGCTACTATTTTTAAATCCACCTATTTTATTTTCCGCTCTATATTTAAATGAAATACCTCAACCGTTAATAATGTTTATATGTCTTACCGCGCCTTCGAAAATAGAACATTTAGAAAAATATTATTTTTCATAACGCTTTGATTACAATGAGAGAATCGAAAAGAAAAAAAAAACGAAATTCTTGAATATGGTTGCCCGATATAATCCGATATTTATCTTTATTTTGTTAAATCTGTCTAGCTCGCCATATATCTGTTGCCAAATGTGATATTTTTGTTTCCAAGTAATAGGCGGGCCACTCGTAGAGTCTGTCGTTTCAGTCCTGAGTGGTCGGCACGCGATTCGGCCACCCGAACCACCAGATTTAGTTTCTTTTCGGCGTTTTTTTTTTTTTTTTCGAAACGCGTCGCGGCGGATACTTAGCGACCCCGATGTCACGGGGACAAGAAAAAGTCGTCGCGACGCCGAAAACAGTCGAAATTTTTGCGAAACCTACGCGGGACATGGTGCCAAAAGTCCGGCCGCGCGTATAGGCCGGATAATTGCGGTCGGTGCGACGAAAAACGCGGCAGTGAATCTCCCGGTACAATTCGGGCCTTAGCGAGGTTTTTTTTTTCAAATTTTTAGGCCGCAAACCCTAGTAATTACGTGCAGGCCAACAAGTTTCAAACGAAAGTCGATTTCGTAGTAATCCTTTATTTGTTAAAAGAAAGGTCAACACAATTTCGCGAATTACACCACAAATCGAATTCTGACAATAAGGAAGCACTCTCGATTGTAATAACCGTTCACAACCGAAAGAAACTGTTAATTAATTGTAGAAGAAACGAAATTAGACAAAAAAAAGGGATATTACGGTGAGTATATCGCCATTAAAGCTCAATTTGCAACATGACTGAACGGGAGCTTCCTTCAAGGGGAGCAAACACACCCAAATCTTCGGTGAAGTTGTCATAGGAGTTTAAATATACAGTTCAAACTCTATATAGCGAAATTGAAGGGACTGCTTTTTTTTAAATTAATATTTAATTATTTTATATACATATTTTAACATCTACTTAGGAACATTTTTTATAAATATTTAAGAACTAGTCGTTAGTGACGTTTCTGTCGACATCACGGGCTTCGCCACTTATCTCTCTATAATTTATACCATGTCTCTGTTTGAACTTCCCCAACCATCCTTCCGAAGCCTTGAAATCGATAATGCCAAGCTCTTCAGCAACCTTTTCTATTTTAGTTTTACGATAGGTCCAGGGAGTGGTACATTTTTAAGACGTTGCTGTTGGAACCACTGTACCACCCCGATCCAAATCTTCCAATTTGGGCTTTCTTCAATTTATTAGAAGCGATGGAGATTAACAAAATGAGACATTCAAATGTATTGCTTTACAAATACCTCTCCATTATTAAACTTAAATTCTCACAACAACATTTATTGTCATTTTTCGTTATATATTGTAGCAGGTAGTTTATAAATATTACATTTGGTAAAAACACGGTGTTGTCGAAACAATTGTCATCTGAATATATATAATTTCTTGAAAATCTGAACTTGTAGTTCTTATTTATTTTGCTAAATTGATTTTTATTAAGTAAAAGCCTCCTCAATCCAAGCTAATCAAAAAGATGAATTTTTCAAATGGAAGGTTAATATTTATGAGTCTCTCGTTTTTTTTTTTAAACCGGGAATATTTCGAACTGCAAGATTTTAGAACTAATTGCCCAGCAGTTTAAAAGAAACTGTAACTGTGGTTGTTCAGAAACACTACATCACACTTCATCTATTTCTTTATCTTATTCTAAATTGGCTGGATTCTCAGGTATTGGGATATTTCGGCTCTGTTGGCTCTCTCGAAAAGGTAGAGATCGCCTGGTTCCTTTATTATTGAACGTTCTTCACATACCTTAGAAACGATATCTGGTACCCAAAGTTTGATCACCGATTTTTACTTGAAAATAAGCATAGTATTGTTTTTTAACCAGGGTGTAGTTTTACAAAAATGTTGCTATGTAACCTTGTCTTTTTTATTAGTTTGCTCCCTATAATTCCAAAAATATAAAAAATACTAAATCACAAATTCCTTGTTGGCCTGTATTGCGATACCATTCAATTTCTACTGTTGGTTTTTCGGTTAACGTGCAAACCGATTCAACGCAACTTGACCAACCCAAAGAAACGTTTTTTTTTTCAACAAACTTAAGCTAATGTTTTGTATCGCCGCCCCTGTCTTACTGAAAGTGCCGAAAGGGGCTCGCCTACCTTAGAGACAGCTGCTTTACATTTTTTTACTCCGTCGTTGTCCGTTGTTTATCTTACTAGAAATATGTTGGAATATCGTTGTCTTCAAATATTGGGTATTTTTACTTTTTTAAAAAATAAAAAATTAAGTTCAGTCACTCATCAATATTATTAAATATCAACAGACCAACCAACAGACGTAAGTAAGAAAACTATGACCTAATTATAACCTAATTATCGAGATCGTCATAAAAGTATGTCATAATACTTTGCATTTTTATTGGTCTGCGTCTGTAGTTGAGTTTACATTAGTCACAATCAAGTTTAAAGTCATACTGGGGCTCTTTTACACTAAGACGGTTTTTCTAATAACTCTGGCAAACACCTAAAGAATTTCGTCTGAACAACGAAAATTCGTATTTATTCAACTTAATGAATAAATGAAATGAGTTATCAGCGTTGAAAAAAAAAGCTATCTGTTCTCCGTTTCTCTGACTATGGGGTATTAAATTGCCATAACTATCAAACCCTTTTAAATAGCAAGTGAGACACATAAACCCGTAGAAAATGGCTTCGATCAGACTTCGGCGTTTTTTTTTTAGATTTTCGACTGTTTTTTCTAGATTGCTATGAGACACGATAAGTGCCCGAAATTTGAAGGTATCGAGATTAAATTTGACATACGTAGTGAGCTTGGCTGCCTAACGAAGTCTATTGAAGCTGCGTAGCTGGGGGATGGTGGGGTATTTAAAAAAAAAAAAATTAAGTTCAAAAAAATCAATTCTCGAAAACCGAAAAAAAAAAGTTAACGAGAAGATCCAAAATATTAAATTGTATAAATGTTTTATGCTCACAATTTTCAAAAATGTATAAGGTAATATGGTCATAACTAAAAGGCTGTGTTTCACTTGTCAGTTTCTTTTACAAGATTATATAGTTAGTATGAACAGCTAGTATTTAATGTGTTTTTTTATATTGTTCTTGATATTCTGTGCTGTATTAAAAAATGTGGTAGGTGTCTCAAATTCGCAGCTATCGGCTTCAAATATTATACTGAAAAAGCTGGATTATCGGACGCGGAAGATCCAGTACTATAACTTTTATTTCAAGTATTTTTTCGATTATATTCATTTATGGAGAAAAATCTAAAAGACTCAAAAAATCTTCATTTCCAATGTAAATTTTTAGCCACAATTCAAAATTCGCAAAAAGTATCACAAATTGGTTTAAACAGTATTATAAGTCGCATCAAGAGCTACATTTATTGTATTGTATAGATCCAGTACTATAACTTTTATTTCGAGAATTTTTTCGATTATATTCATTTAAAGACAAAAATCTAAATGACCCTAAAAATCTTCATTTCCAAAGTAAATTTTTAGCCATAAATTAAAATTCGCAAAAAGTATCGCTAATTGGTTTAAACAGTATTATAAGTCGCATCAAGAGCTACATTTATTGTATTTGTTCCAAAATCCAATCCAAAATAAAATAGTAGAGTTGAATTGGTTCGTAAATAAAAACGGTTCTTTAAAAGAAAAATGGTAACGTAATTATTTCGGTTTGGTCTAAAATTTGGCGGTTTTCTCGCGGCCCAGCGTGAAAAGTGACAGGTGGCGGCCATGTGACTCTCGCCAAGCCCGCAACGCAAACGATGGCAGAGCGCGAATCGAAATCCAAACGGAAAACGCTGGGCAGGAGCGCCTCCACCGAAAGTACCGAATACTCGACCACCATGGGCAGATCGGTTAGACGCAAGAAACCGAAAGAACGGTGGTTGCTCTCCCGGAAAACTTGGAGGTACATGGCCGACGCTGGCAGGAAGCTCATACCGGACGGTGCGAGGAACTGTCCGGAGGACGTACCCAAAATTGAGGCGTACTTTCAGGAAGTATGCAAAAAGGAGCCGCGGTTTCTGCTGTGGCGGAAAAATTCCTATCCTGGAGCGTTGGGATTCCGTAGAAAGCGGAAGCAATCGAGGAAGGGAGGCAGTTGCCGCAAGGCGGTGTCCGCTGACGACGTGGACGTCGTTAAGCCCGAAAGGCCTCGCGATCTTCTGCTCGAACCCAAGGTGCATGGCAAGTTCGACTTAAAGAAGATGAAGGAAGACTTCCTAAACAGCCCGACCACGTCCGCCGACTACGGCGGGTTCTCCTTCGAGCCTAGCGACGATAAACTGTTGATTAATATGCTCGAAAGGTACCTGCGGATTGCGGACAGCGGCGGCAGCCACGACTTCGACTACCAAGACCTTATGGACAAATTGCAGAGGCATTTGAGTACAGCGAGTGACATCGTCTCCAAGGGGGGTTACTCCGCTTACTCGCCCCAGCAACACGTGCACTTCCAAGGGGACCACGTGCAACGGACACTGCGTGACACTTTGAGCCGGTATTTCAGCCACTCGAGCAATCGCGACAGGGTCATTTCCGATTTGCTCACCGACCGGAAGGCCCTGGAGAAGCTTTACTTCGATTTGAGGAAGGCTAGGGGTTTCAGAGGCGGCCGCGGCGGTACCGGATACTCCTGCGGCCCGACATACACCAACAGGACCTATAATAAGTCCCACGCGCCCGATTGCACCGTCGGGCAACATCCTCCACCTCTAATCGAAGTGGAAAGCGAGAGTGTCGAGGTCAGTTTGATGAGCAGGAAGGTCCAGACGGTTTCCATTCCCGAATCGGTGCTGCAGGAGGTCGAAGCCGAGTACAGGAACAATCTGGCCGAGGAAGACGAGAAAAGGGACACCGTGAAGCCTTCGAGAAGAAGGAGCAGCGTGGATAACGACGACGTGTCCCAGTCGGTGAGCGACACCATCAAAAGGTACCTCCGCATGGCGCGTAAGAAGAGCGTCGAAGCGGACAACGCGGACAGGTTCAAACGCGTCAATTACGACCGGAACCTGCGCAACATCAAGGCCAAAGGGGAGATCACCAAGCCGGGCGACGACGACGGCTTAAACAAGGGTTGCCAGACGAACGACGATTGGATTTTAACGTACCGCGAGCTAAAAATGGCCGAAACGTACGAAACGTCGGACGTGGAGAGTCGCGCGTCGAGCGCTCGAAGTAGCGTGGACGCGGGGGCGTGCGACGACGGTGTCAAATCGTCCCCGTCGTCTCCTCCGTCCGTCAAAGGCGGCCATTCTTTCTTAAGTCAATTGTTGCACGGCAAACACGATAAGAATTCTTCTTCCGCAGCGATGACCGCCATGCAGAAGAGCAAGTCGTCGTCGAGCGTCGTGCACCAAGGCAGCAAGCTGGTGGCGAAGAAGATCTTCAGGTCCAGGTCCAAGAGTCAGACGAGGCCCTCGCAGAACACGTGCAGCTGGATCCCTCGGGTAAGACATCGCTTTTTTCTTTCTTGGTTCTGCTAATCCCCTCTTACCAATCATGGTGAAACAAGTTCTGCCTGTGTGGCATCTAGGGTGAGTATCTCATTTTACACATCTTCCGATGTGAGACCCGTTCCTCTGGATAACGCATTCTGAAACTGTATTTCTTCGATCTCGATGTTATCAACTTTTACGGTGTTTTATTCTATGCCACACATTAAGTGACCAATGATTTTGGTTTGGCACTTCCCTCTTTGATAGATAAGATTATAACTAAAAATCAGTTTCGAATAACTCTGCACTCTATCTATCCCATATTAAACACAGCAAACAAAATTTATAAAACAATAAAATACCTAACAAGAAAATGTCGAAACATGTATCTAAATTTGGTATAAATTGTTTTTAAAACTGAAAACATCATAGGACATTTTCGAAAAACTAAATTACGAAAAACTCAAAACTCCGAAGTCTACAAGTTGTGGATTTCGTACCTCTATTTATTAAAGTTTCACACACATACGGAAACAACTCAGCAATACAAAAAAATGTAGACTCAGAGCTCGAATATTAATTCAGTAAATCAGAAGTAAAGAAAGGTTTACATGTTAAGGAAAAGATGGATTGACTGGAAAATGGAGGGGTACAAGAGAAAAGAATACCAAAAGGGTACTTGTATATAAGAAGGATACAAAACGGACATAAAAAACTGCAGGCGCAAAGATATTAACGAGTAGACTATCGAATGAAATTTGTTGGGTGCCAATCTGAAGAACCGCTTTTAGAACTAAAAATGGAAGCGCAAATCCAAATTGGATGACAACAAAACAGTTAGGGCAACATACAATAGAACAAGTCAAAGAATACATATATCACAAATTAAATTAGAACAAAAAATGTTGAGATTTTCACAGTTTTTAATGCTTTATGACAGCTGTTTCACTGGAACCGAAAGACAACTGCAATCATTTTTATATTAACTCGATACATAACCGCATGAAATGTACCATAGAGACGGAACAAGATAACTCTCTAAACTTGGATTGATCTATGACTAATATGAAAACTAATATTATTTCAGAAAAATGAAAATATTGGAAAAGCTATTAAGCTTAGGCTTTTTTTAAGTGACCCTATATACTTTAAATTTAATTTTAAATTGTGCATAAGAACCATGTTAACATCTTTTGTATTTACCATTGTTTCATAACTTTTAAGACCGATGCGATAATGAACTTTACTCGATTGTTAACTCACCCTGGACAGATACACCTCTTTATCATTTTAGTTTGTATTTCGCCGAAATTGTGACAATAAGTCGTCAAAAAACAGAGAAGCGATATATTCTAAATGCATCGAAAAGTAAATTAGAAAAAGTGTTGAAATTTGAAAGTAGATCAAATTGGAAAAATTGTATTTTATGTTTCATCTTACATATAATGCATATAAAATATAAAAAAAAAGATATCGGAATTCCAAAATTTCGTGCAAGCCAGAAAAAGGAACAATATAAATTGAAAATTAATTTCGATTTAAATCGCCCACTATTTAACCTTTAGTTTCATTTTTTTTGCCGAAATTTTCTAAGCTGCTTGCTGTTAAGTATGCATAACTTTTTTCTAACCGGCTTCCAGTGCTTAACAAATTCAGAACCTATCATTTCCTGATGCTGTGCATTCTTCTCTTGCACATATTATATCGGGTGTCCCAGTAAAGTACGGCGTCAGTAAATCTTCGGAAACGGCCGCCAGGGGGCGTTAAAGTGGCTAAACTGTTCTAAAACTGAAACAAATTCAAAAGATAAGATATTGAGCGTTCAATTAAAAAATACACTTCACCACAACCTTCCAATAGGAATGAGACCGAAAGCAATCCTACATTTGCCACTGTGGTCCTTACCTACTTCGCAAATGTTCACTGTCCAACTCTTCACTTATCCAATTCTAGGAAATCCTTCTAATTTATCCTCATCAAGACCGTATTCATAAAGATTCAATAAATCTTGAACTTCAGGCGGCAGCTGTTTTTTTTTCAATTTTGATTTTCTTGTTTTAAAGGACAAATATATGAAGGGCGGACCCCTGTTATTTCTCGATTAAATGCATCTGTCAAGACTTTGGGCGTTGTATCATTAACAATGATATTCGATGGTCTACAGTCTCGCCAGATTGCCAAGTATTTTTGTTTCGTGAACCTGTAACGACCTAAAAAAATGTTTTCTCTCTAATCCCCCACTTAACCCATATTATCCCAAGCATAAAAAAAAAAATACTTTTTTGCTCTGAAGTTATTTATTTTGTTGCACTTAACAATACATTACATGTGTGTAATTGTTTTATCAGTTTTTGAAAATCAATCATTTCGTCATTAAATAACATAAAAAATATTTCAAGCGGAGTTTTACCAGAAAGACTATATTTTAGTTCCTCCCATGATCTAAATTCATCGGACATAGGTGTGTGGGTGTATTCAATCTGACCTTTCTGCCATTTGACAGTAGAAGCAAGCCTGTTCATCATTTGATAAGTCCCATTCAGGTTCAGAAGTTGGTGAATTACACGACTCTTGAGGGACAGCTGTATCATCCGGTGTATGTAACTCGAACGTTCCAACTATATCAGTTGGTTTCCCAAATTCTTGTAGATTTATGTTACCGTTCATATCTTCTTCGTCAGTCAAGGTATCAACGTCTCTGTTCTGCAAATATTTTTTCACGTTTTTTTGAGCATAAATTTACAAGGAATGGAATGCTACAATACATAAGAATACGTAAATCCAAATAATACTTACGACTTTCGTTGTTTTCACGATCCCGATCCATAGCCGCCTTTAATTCTTTTTTGAGTCAAAAACCTCGGAAATGCCATATTTTACGAACTGAAACGTTCACTGCACAAGGCACAAACTAATACTAAAGAACACGCTAAATGTTGGATGATGCGCTGACTTGTCTAGACTTGCAATAACAAAGTTTGATGCTATAGGCTTTACAAAAATGGCAACACAAATCCAAAATACTTTTTTTTGCTATTTAGGATTTACTTCAAAATGTGATACAAATTTACGTACCGCTTTTGTTAAGTTTTGAAGTCATACATAAGGTCTTGATTTTACACATAAATTAGCGATCTCTACGGTTGTATATCTTCTAGTAGTGGTAATAATAAAATTTATAAATGGATGTGCAAAAATATTTCACGGATGTGACAAAAAAAGTCATAGAATAGGTGGTGCGTTAACGCACCACTGGGACAAAATGGAGAGCCAATTTATAAGAGCACAAAAAACATTAACCTCAGACTTTTTGTAGCCCTAACACAACTTCATAAACGCCGTGTTCTTAATGCAAAATATACAGCGTCATATTTATATCTATTACTAGTTAAAACAAGCAAATATTTCAAAGTAAAAAATTTCAGACTTTACATTTTGTTGTCACTGTGGTACCAGCCACAAGTGCGCTTTCCAGAATTGACTGTTAGACATTTTGGCCAAAATCAGCGTACTATATACGAATGCGAGCCGATATAAAGCGCCACCGACATTTTCAAATTCCACCGACAGGATTAATTGGTAAAACGCGGTATTTACTACGCGGATAACGGATCGTCTCAATCGTCGCGCTTTTTTGTACACCTCAGAAAATTGTGATGGCCACGGCGCCTGTGTAGGCAGTATCTGTTCAGCATCAGCGGAAGATTCACCGAACTTTACACGAAAAAACAACTATATATTACGTTCGGTTTTGATGGGTGAAATTTTTAACTCGAAACCCAAACAGTACACACATCTTTATTCATTGTCTCATCGGTTTCAAAAGTCACGAGAAATGGTCGATACGAAAGTTGGAGGGATCGTTGGGATGCACATTTTGAAATTAATGTAAAGTATACGGGGTGGCTCAAAAAGTGCGACGAATAAAACCAGTAAATCCATACTTGGACTTTTTTTTATTTTACTGATACCTCAATAATATTTACGAGTTTATTCATTTGTAAAAGGAATAAAATATACGAGCCAGTAGCACGAGTATAAAAGTACAAAAGTGCACAGAACAAAAGTATATAGCAGCAGAACGATGCATGTCATGGTATCGTCGGCAAATAATGTTATTTTGCTGTTTTTCACAACTTGAGATAGATCATTAATCAAAGTAAATAAGAACTAAAAGTTCAGATTTTCAAGAAATTATATATTTTTGCATGACAATTGTTTCGACAACACCGTGTCTAAATAGAGTTTACTGTTGTCTGGATTTGCTTTTTATTTACAATTTGTTTAATGATATTAACTTCTTTGTTGTAATTTTCTGTTGATAGTGGCGTATTAAAAAGTCTGTGTATAAAATAGTGACATGCAGCCATTTTGTATGTATAAGGGTGATTTGAGCAGTTATGCGTGACTAATTTGTTTTGGGTTTTCGTAATAATTAGGTCTCAAAAATTAATAGAGTTATCCTGTTCAATCTCGATAGTGAATTTTATACGATTATGTAATGAATTAATGTATTAACAAAATTAAAGATATCGAAAGCCCTTCTAACGCAACACTATTGTCTTTTGATGTACAAAAGTTATTTCCAAGTATTCCACCTAGGGATGTGGTAGTTTTAGTAGATTTCACCCGAACTCGGAAACAGGTTAACCCATTAACGAACATAAAAGAGCGTTTAAAAACAATAGTCTAGGTCCTAATTATGCTACACACTTAAACACAGAAAAACACATTTTTGACGATAATTTTGATGTTTTACATACAGTCACAAAAAGTAGAAAATTAAATTTATTGGAAGCCATGGAGACTAACAAAATGAGACATTCAAATGTATTGCTTAACGATCAATTAGATTTAAATACCTCTCCTTTATTGAACTTAAATTCTCACAGCAACATTAATTAAGGTTTTATTGTCATTTTTCGGTATATATAGTAGCAGGTAGTTGGTAAATGTTACATTTGATAAAGACACGATGTTGTCGAAACAATTGTCATGAAAAAATATACAATACCGTGAACATCTTTTTAGTTCTTATTTATTTTGATTTATTAAAGAGGTTTTGCCAGATATGACGACAGTCTTACTAGTAGGAATTCATTAAATGGAAGACGGAATATCCCTCGGTTGAAACACACTACTAAAATAGCCACACAAAAGTTGAAACATATTTTTGTTCGACAAACAATTTTAAATAACTTTATTAAAAGCCTTGCTCGTCTCAAAAACATTGTGCATGGAAAAATTGATGTCACGAATGAACGTGACCATTTTTTTTCTGAAAACCATGTCGTTTCAGATCTGCCATTCTTTACCACAAAGAACAACTGCGAATAAAACCTTGGCAAAGTGACGCAAGACTCTCTGTTCCACTTTCGAGCTTTTTGGAAACGTCCCTCGACCTTGACATTTATTAAAGTGACTAGTAGGAATTCGTTAAATGTAAGATGGAATTTCCCTCGGTTCAAACACACTACTAAAATAGCCACAAAGAAGTTGAAACATATTTTGGAAATCATTTGTATATAGGTATGTTCGACCAATAACTGGCATTTAATATCGTTTTCTTCAGGGCAGTTGTGTATGGAACAGCATCAATGGTCGGCAGGTGGTGCTTGGCGATACAAACCTGCTGCATTTGACCGAAATCGAGAGGAAGGTACTGCAGAAGGTCTCCATAGCAAAGCTCCAAGCCCTCAATTTGGGTGTAGCAGTGAAAATTCCTTCGGGTATGTTTCAAAGCCATTCATAGCCATTGATCGTGTGTTGGACTCTACGAGGTGTAAGGTAAAGGGCAAGGTGACTTTTGTTATGTTCAATATATTTTTTTGTTATGTTGGTATCATATGTTGACAGTTTGAACGTTTACTTTTTTGGTGCAAAAAATGGACTTCAGTGATGCAAAACCATATGGAAAATCGCTGGAAGAACTCAAAGCCATACCAGTGGTGGTTCAAGGATTGGGGGGGGGGACTTCTTGGGGGCTTGATTAATTTTAATAAATTCTTTTTGATTAAACTTAAAAGTCATCTTGCTTTTTGAACATACCTCGTATAATGCTATGGAATACGGCGGAGACCACTAAGTTTCAATGAATTTATGCTATAGTTGGGATATAATAATAAACTGAACTGAGGTGGCTTGAACTTAACGAAAATCCATTTAACAAAATAAATAACAACGAAAAGATTAGATTTTCACGAAATTATATATTTTCACATGACCCTTGTTTATTATATACACCGAAAAATGACAAAAACATAATTAATGTTGTTGTGAGGATTTAAGTTTAATAATGGAGAGGTGATTAAATCTAATTGATCGTTAAATTCTCACAACATTAATTGAGGTTTTATTGTCATTTTTCGGTATATATAGTAGCAGGTTATTCATCTTTTCTTAATATTTATGATTGTTGTATGGCCCAGCTGGGTTGCATTTGAAGGTCGTCCAATTGCATTATCAATTTGCCATTTTTAGCTTGATCTTTGTCAATTTTGACAATTCCTTGACTGATGATTTATAAACACTTATTAAGAAAAAATCAAATAAAGAGCCTTTATTCTTTAGAACGTGTCCTATGAAAATCTTAGTGTGCTGCGGGGGATCTTCACGAGACCTATAATTCTGCGGCCATTTTGTTTTCGTGTAGGAATAATTTTTGAGACGCGTGATTCGTCTTTTGGTCATTTTTTTAAAGGGTTATTGGTAATAAAATTTTTGTTTTTGTGCTACTTAGAGACGGTCGGTGCTGTCCCCACGAAACCGAAGAGAAGACCTTACCTGTTGAAACGCAAGGCACTTACCACAAGTATATTCGATGGGGGAAGAAAAGAAGGTAAACATTTGTTGTTTCGTTAAATATTTAGTAGGCGCTCTAGTACCAACTTCTAATATCTACAGGGAGGTTCGAAACAAACGCGGACGCCTTAAGGCGTGATCCGTTGGTTTAAATAAGCGTTACTTAGTTATATAAATATTCAGCCAAGAGTCGACCATTACTGAGATTTTGCGGCACCAAGATGGCGGAAAAGTGTTGTTTTTATTTTTTGTCATTTTTTAAATTTATTAGACACTTTTTTTTCTTCCGTGACTATGATAATATATAATTATTTATTATGTTCTTTTTAGTTTAATCAATAAACTAGGATTTCATTCATGCATGACCTATTAAATATTTTAAAAAAATTGGTACCTTAAATGATAATAAAAACTATTTTAGTTTTGGCCTTTATCAAAATGGAAATTTAAAGACGTCTTTATTAGACACTTTTTTTCTTGTGTGACTATTATAATACATAATACATAAAAACTTACGCAATGGCATAGAAAAAAAGAGATATCGATAGACGTCTTTATTAGACACTTTTTTTTCTTGTGACTATTATAATATATAATTTTTTATAATATTTTTTTTCTGAAGAAAATTAATAGTTTAATCAATAGACTAGAATTTAGTTTGTGTACGACATAATCAATGATTGTAACAAAAAAAGGGACTTAATTTCACGAATGCGAATAACAAAGGTGTTGGGTTTGTCAGGTGACTCCAAAGGAAAAAAAAAGAGGCCACGACTCGATAGTATTTTTTCGTTCGATCCATCGATGTGATTAATAATAATAATAATAATCATAAATATAATAATAATAGCCTTTTTTATCAAGCAGTTACTAAACAACGCATTTTTTAACGGCCTTTTACAACAAGCCAAATTTACCAGCGTGTTCAACTTCAATTATTAATATAATTAAATGAATTTATTACTGAAACCATGAAAAACACCTGTAAAATCGGAAAGGCAAGGAAAAAGATGATCTTTGTACAATTTTTTGAATGCATTTAAGTTAACTTTAAAGAAACTGTTCATATTCATATTTAAATGCTTTCTGGCAATGCTTTTACATTGTGCGGGTTATTTTTAAACAAAATATAAATATTATAATCGAAACGTGTTTCATAGTTCGTTTCCTTTAATTTAGAAGAGACTGAAAATGCCATAAATAAATAAATAATATAAGGAGACAACATTTGATAAATAAATGCATACTTTTTGATAAAACTTTCAAGTCACATTACTTCTCGAACACACCTCGTAAATATGGCATTTAAGAAACGTTTTTGCATGTTCATTTGCGACCACCCTGTATAATATATTTTCGCCCCATATAGATGAAAGCATTAAATGAAAACCACCTCACAAAAATTTAAAATTGCAATTTTGTGTAAAAAAACACCAAAGAACGGTTCTTCCACAAAGAAATGGAAAAGTTCATTTTTCTCAAAAACTCTTCCAGATTTCGAATCGAAAAATATTCAAAATCAAGCGAAATATTTGAATTTTTACAAATATTCTCAGCATTCCATGGAAAAAAATAAAATTGGTGACAGTCTCGCGATAACTTAACATAACACATAACCATAAATAAAATATATACTTGGGTGTATTTTTTTTAAATTTTAATTTCTTCTTTAGTGTCGCACTTATTAACGACCGTTACGCGGATAAAAAAAAATCTATTCCGGACCAGCGAAACAAAAAAAAAATACAATTAAGGTAATGATTTTCAGGACACGCCTCTAAATTTATTTATTTATTTATTTATTATGAAAAGTACTCATAATCAAGAGAGATAATTGAATTTTTTACACATATTCACAGCATTGCATGGAAAAAAATCAAATTGGTCACTGTCCCGACATAATACATTACCATAAATAAAATATAAACTTGGATGGAATTTTTTTAAATTTTAATTTCTTCTTTAGTGTCGCACTTATTAACGACCGTTACGCGGATAAAAAAAAATCTATTCCGGACCAGCGAAACAAAAAAAAATACAATTAAGGTAATGATTTTCAGGACACGCCTCTAAATTTATTTATTTATTTATTTATTATGAAAAGTACTCATAATCAAGAGAGATAATTGAATTTTTTACACATATTCACAGCATTCCATGCAAAAAAATCAAATTGGTCACTGTCCCGACATAATACATTACCATAAATAAAATATAAACTTGGATGTATTTTTTTTAAATTTTAATTTTTTCTTTAGTATCGCACTTATGGGTGTATCGGTGTTTGGTTTGAAAAATAGAAAATTCCCGTCTCATTAACGATTTGGAACGTAGCAGGTACAATGTACTCGGCCACGTCTGTTTACTTCTGAAAAATCACATGCCGAGCGTCGCGTTTGACGGGTGGAATTTAAGCGCGCTCCAAATTAACGACAGTTACGCAGATAAAAAAAAAAATCTATTCCGGACCAGCGAAAAAAATTCGGACAATTAAGGTAATAATTTTCAGGACACGCCTCTAAATTTATTTATTTATCTATTTATTATTTATTTATTTATTTATTTATTTATTTATTTATTTATTTATTATTAAATGTATTCTTCCCGATGAGTTACAGTTTGGCCAGCGAACTGTTTCATTTAAGCAAGTCATGACTTATGAATTTAATAGGTATTTTCAAGACGGTGTTAAAAATATTTTGAGTGGCATTCCGCCATCTCTGGCTGTGAATGATATCAATGAAAATATACCAACCTAAAAAGAATAAGAGAATTAAAAAGTGAGACTGGTGATGAGTGTGGTATTTCGAAGAGTGTATTGATTGATGCCTGTGCAGTTGTTGGACATTGTGAACATCTCCCTTACGAGTGGAATTTAATACAATTCCAGTTTATGAGAAGGTTGTTGAGGTCGTGGCGAAACAGCAGCTGCAAAGTTATTATGACGTAAACAATATTTCAGTCGGGCTTTCGCAGCAAACATTCACGTGAATCTGTCGTTGTTACTGTTTGTGATGATTTCTCGAGGGCCTTGGAGGATGGTAAATTTGTGATGGCTGTATTTTTGGATTTTAAGCGAGCTTTCGAAACAATAAGTGGAACTAGACTGTTAAGAAAATTGGATAAAATGGTTTTTAAGGTAACAGCGTATAAATAGCTTTGTCCGTATTTAACAGATAGGGTACAAAAAACGAAATATAAAAATGCATATCTCTTTGCATAACTGTAGAACATGGTGTTCCTTAGAGGACAGTTTTGGGACCACTGGTATTTCTTATGTACATAAACGATGTAGTAAATATTTTAGATGATACTAAAGCGGTATTATTTGCGGATAACACTATGATTTTTATTGTGGGTGAAATGTGGATGAAATGCAAAGAAAAATGAATGCTGATCTGAAGAAGACTTCTGAATGGCTGTGCCATAATTACCTTTGTATAAACAATTCTAAGAAGGTTAATTTTATATCTAGAATAGGCAAACATTTGTTGTTGTAAGACGAACTTACATGACCTCAAAAAGAGCAAAGCCAAGAGAGTGTAATTTTCATGATATGCTATCGAGTTAAATGAAAAAAGAAAACAGTCCATTAGTAAACTAAACGATTTCAGATGGTAGTAGTCCGAGCGGAAGCGGCTTGGTTTTCGGCATTCCTTTAACCCAATGCGTAGAAAATGATCGCCTCAGCAGGATCGCTGCCGGCGCTTGCAGCCCTCTGCGCAGTGGTCCGGACTTCGTGGGGCCTCCAGAAGATCCAGAACCGATCGCAAGGCACAGCTCTCGGGCCAGCTTTAGCTCCCTCATCGACGCCTCCAGATGCGAAGAGGTTCGTATAGTACATCTCGAAGTATGTCGGTTTGGTTTGTCTGTTCTCTGTTCATCTTGTTCTCGCTATGAAACACGATAAGTGTCCCCCTATCGTAATTTGGGATGCAAGTCAAGTTTGGTGGTGAATAATGTCTTTTTTTACTTTTGAATCGGCAAAAGAAGCACGAGTGAAAAAAAACCTGCTTCATGGATATTAGGAAAACCACCGATAATTGGAACGAAGGTGGCAAAAAGATCAGCAATTTGATGTATGCTGAAATTTTTAAAACGTTCGATGTATACGAGGGCAGCGCCAAAATTTCCCGGCCTGAATATGAAAGAAACAATATAATCCCCCTTAACTTCAATACACTTATTACATCTCTTTATTAACAACTCAATCCCTTTAAAAATATATTCTTTTGGTTTGTCTGCAAAATGAGCTAAAACAGCCTCTTTTAACTCAACTTCGTCGTTAAACCGCCGGCCACGTAAGTCCTTTTTCAAATATCCAAACAAATAATAGTCCCAGGGAGCCATATCTGGACTATAGGGAACCCACACTCTAAAATGGCAGCTTGTGCAACACCAGCAATATGGACAGGTACATTATAGTGCAAAGGACGCACGCCTCTGGTCAGTTTTCCTCGACGTTTTACACAAATGCAGTCTCTCAATTTATGGTAATATTTACCATTGACATTGGTATTAGTTTCTTTAAAATCTATCAACCGAATTCCGTCACAATCCCGAAAGATCGTGGCCATCACCTTTTTTCTTGATTGGCAGACTCATTGATTGGCAGAATTTTCTTGGAGGTGCTTCACCCTTACGACGCCACTCCATTGATTCTTTTTTCGATAGAGGGTCATAACAGAGAACCACAGAGTTCCAAAAAAGACCGCGCACACTCGACACAGCATTGTTTTTCAATAGCCAAAAGGTTTTTAGGAACCCATCTTGCACTAACACTTGTATTAGAAAGCTTAGTAACTTCTGAGATTTCCTTGACCTTAAAACGTCGATCACTCAATACCATGTATTCCACAATCGCAACAATATGACCTAAACTGGTTGACCATTTCTTGAAGCACCTTGAAGGGTCTCCTGCCCATTCGAAAACGTTTTCCCAATTTTTTCACTACAGAATACGAAGGAGAACTTTGACCGTACACACCATCCAGCCTTTCTTTAATAATTTTAGGTGCTAACCCTTCTTTTGTCAAAAACTTTATGACTGCTCTATACTCAATTTGCGTTATGTGCGACATTTTTTCGGACACGTCTTGTTTAAAATGCTGTAAATAAAAAACCATTTGACGAAGACTTCAATTTTTTGTTCGAAGCCTTCTAAGATACATATCTCAAATAAGACAAAGTTTTATCGTGGTAATGGAGCTGCATCTATGTCAGGAAATTTTGGCGCTAACCTCGTATATAGATGAATACAGTAAATACGAAAATTGTAGTCCTCGATACAGCCTATAATACACTTGAATTCAATTAGCCATATTTATTACGAATTTTGATTCACCGCGTATAATTTACTTTGGAAAAGAACGATTTTCAAGACCTTTTAGATTTTTGTCTATAATTGAAAAACCCCGTATATAATGAAAAAAAAAATGATTTTTTTTAATGCAAAACAAAAATATCCAGAAACTAATTTTCAAAAATAATTAAAAGACTTGTTTGCTTCCAGTTTCCAGAGTTTAGATGCCGCCAAGTCGATAGCTTATAGCGTTTAACGGCGATGTACGAAAAACAGACGAAAATCGCAAAAAAGGAGAAAAATTTCAGCGTTATAGTATTAACCATTTTGATTTTTCGAAAGTAACAATGTTGTAACAATGATCCGACAGGATCCAAGATGATATACTTCGGGACACACTTTACCTGTCGGTGAGCTAATTTAAATATGGCGTGTTATTATGCGGCGACGCCCACGGGGCAACCGTTGCAAAACCCTGAGCGATAAAACGGTGAGAACGCGTCACTGACTAACCTACGGTGTCGCAAGAGAGACGCTCTGACGTCACAGTTGACTTACTTGGCTCTGAATACAGATTTACGCTGACTTGCCACGTTTATCGAAATAAACACGAACGTTTGTCGTCCCTGAAGACATTTTTCCAGTAATTTTTTTATTTCGTCCCGTCTGAAGTGACGTAGGTATGGTGTGAAACGTTTCAAAGATCAAATCAAGCAGCTGACAATTTTATTGCCTTGAGTCTTAGGTAAAGTTTGTTCATAGATATAAGAAAGTGACTATACGAATTAAGGAAAGACCCGGGCAAGCTGTAAGCATGAAATATGGTCGAACAGGTCCGCACTTTGCTTAGAAGTTAATTATTTGGGATTTTGTTAGGAAAGATACTAAACAATATTTATTTATTTATGTATGTATTTATATTTAAATCTAAAATAAAATTACAAATAATTTTTATTACCTAATTAAATTATTTAAAATTATTCACATAATATCTCAGTATCGCTATCGCTATCATCGCCTGTTCTAATTATTATTTGTTCTATATTATTTGCAATATGGATATACGATTGTTCTGCTTTTTCTATATATTTAACAAAATTTTCTCAACATTGTGGAGGGATGTTAAACACTTCGGTGTCTATAAGTTTTGGAGTTAACACGGGAAAAAGATTGTTACGACGGATGACCGATTTCGGTTGGTGCCAAACATGGTCAATGGGATTAAATATACAGTGGTAAGGTGGAAACCTTAAAACTGTATGCCCTAGACTTTTTGCATAATTATCACAGACGTATTCCTTTTGTAGGTTCAAGCTTTGTAGAACCTCAATTAATTGCTTTTTAGTATAATCTTCGTGAAAATAAATGTTGTTATTATACATGTAGTTTTGGATTGTTGCTTTTGTGTCACATGAGGAAAGGGTTTTAGTCAACTGTCTACTGTGATAACTTCCATTGTCCATTACAATGAAGCTATTAGTTTGTTGTTAAACCAAATTTCAAATAAATCAGCGGTGGGTCTTCATGGTAATCCAAAGAAAAATCTTTAATATTTTTCGCAGACAGTGAAAGTCCATTTGGAATCCAACCATCTTTAGAGCGAGCATGCAAAATAGTTATTCTTTTACCTCTTTTTGATGGCGCGTTTGTTTTACACTTATCAGTTGAGTCAATCCAATCCTTTTCCGGGGTATCATAAGTGTCGAGCCAGGTTTCATCCAAGTAAATAATTGGCCTTTGTTGTGTTCTGTAAATCCTAATTTTTTCTAGATATTCCAGTAGCCATTTCCGAATTCTAAAAGATTCTTTTAAAACTTGCTTTTTGTCAATTTTTTTTAATCTAAAACCCATGTGTTGAATACACTTCCATAAGGTAGTTCTGCCACATTTAACACCGGTTTCATTTTTTTGAAGCCTGCTAATTAAGGCACGCTTTGTTCCTCGTATAACTGGTAGATTTTACGCCGTATTATATCTTGATCACTTTCACCTACATTCGAGCAAATGTCAGCATCGCTTCGTTTTTTCCTCGCTGAAATGGAATTATTCACAATTTTCCATACAGTTGATGTTGGAAGTTTCGTCAATGGGGCCGTTTCTTCTAAATATGCTTGCTTGCTGGCACCACGTTCAATGAAAGTCAAATAAACATGGTAACTATGGAATTTTCGCATAATCGATTTAAATAAATTTTGCATACACCCTGTATATAGTGTGTTTCGCGGATAGCCGAATTTCAAAGTCACGACAAACTTTGATAGATATAAAAAATACGTAATTAATAACGATTTTCAATTATATTATTTCAAGTATTTCGCGCACCCTGTATGATAGACGAATCCTGACATTCGTTTAGGACACTGTTTAAACCAAATTACCCACGACAACGGCAATGTCCAGGGTCTTTTAGATTTTTTTTATCAATAATCGACACACCCTGTACAAATGTTAAAAAATCCGGAAATGGAGGATATAGCTTTGAATCTTCCACGTTTCCTGGTCCAAGAATGTTTCCAAAATATAAATGGTTTTCGAGAAAATAAGTTTTTCTGAAACCATGCAGTATAATTTACAAAAATTTTCTGGGTCTTTTAGATTTTTGCCTATAATTTGAAACCCCTGTATAAAATCGAAAAAATGCCCGAAATAAATTTTATTGCACTGCATCTTCTGCGTCTGCCGGTTAAAAATTTTGCCAATCAGTTGAACGGTTATGGAGGAAAACATATTTGTGTAGAAGTTAAAATTATCAAAAAAAAAATTTTAAACCAAAGTAAAACTACCACTTCTTCATACGCTAGCGACTTCATATACCTCCAAACACAAAACTGAATAGGATTGAAATCTGGAATCCTAAGCGGCCAAGACAGGTAGCCTCCGGATTCTTGAGTTTTTCGCGAGAACTAACGATAATCGCGTGGCACTGGCAACGCCGCCTAGACGAGATTCAAAAATAAACGTTTTCTTGTCTATTTCGATCGTCGCGAAAGATGTTTTGCAATCTCCTCAAGTTGAGGGCTACGACTTAAATGTTCCGAATTCAGGAGAGCGTTTTTAAAAACATTTATTACACAGAAAGCGAAACAAAATTTTATTCGGGCAAGCCGATACAAAGGCTGGAATAATTCACAGCGTCTAACTCCTCTGGATTTTTACATCGTTGAAGATTTTTTCTCCATCCATTTCTATTTGACAGTTTACTGGTATCTTTATCAGTACCAGCATTTCGATTTGCGTAGATCGATCAGTGTTACATTTGATTAGCAGTTTTATAGGCTTCTGTGGCAGAACAAGAACTAAATTTTGAGTGATTTGTTCTACAATTGCTTCTGACAGGGTCATTTTCGTAATGGGGCAGATTTAAAATGGCCGCCGTTGCAGGGCGGGTCTTGCGAGAGTCTCGTCAGACGGGACAGGATGGCCGGTAGCGTGCCGGGTCTGCTAGACGCCATTTCCTGCGGCTCCGTGGGTGATCTGCCTTGCGTCTTCGCCGAAGACGAATGCGCCTTCATTCCGAATATCCTAAGCGAGTGTATAAGGCATTTGGAACGGCACGGACTGCACACCTCCGGAATATTCCGCGTTTCCGCCTCCAAGAAACGCCTCAGGCAGGTGAGGTTCGACGTAGGTGGCGCTAGCGTCGCGTAACGTTGACGTTTTACGATATAGTTGCGTGAAGACTTCGATTGCGGCCGGGAGACTACGTTGGACGAGTCCCAGTGTCCCCATGACGTGGCCAGTCTGCTGAAGGAGTACCTGAGGGACCTACCGGATCCACTTCTCTGCAGAGATTTGTACCACGCCTTCGTGCACACTCAAAGTAAGCGATGGAGTCTCTAATCAAGTAAAGTGAAATGAAAATTAGATTCAAAAAGTTTCACGATGCTTAGAACATACACCTATATTACGTAAATTATTTCAAATTTGTAGATTATTTGGAAAGGCCTTCTTAACCCATTTGATCCCAGTGGAGCGTTAATGCACCAGCCATTCTATGGTTTTTTTTTTGTTACATCCATTACATTTTTTTTTCTGTTTTTTTGACACATGTAACGTTAGCTGCAACAAAATAAATCATTGCAGAGCAAAAAGTATTTATTTATTTTCTTTTATTCTTGGGAAAATATGGGTTAAAGTTAGATGTATAGATATATCGGAATATATTAATAACGATAATTTAGAAAACGTTGTTTCTGGGAACAGTTTATAGACCTCCAACATTTAACTTACGTGAATGTCTTGACTCTCTGGAAAACGTCCTTATTCCGCAGTTTGATTTTTTGATGTTCGGCGGAGATTAAAAACTCCTACTCCCTCTTATTTTTGATTTTCAAAAACTCTCACCAACTTCGGCATGTATCAACTAGTTACAGAGCCCACTGGGGTTACTGAAAGCTATAGTTCGCTTCACTAATTTATCCATTTGTGACAATATTGAGATTTATGATATGAGTGATATCTTAGATCACTGTTGCAATCTCAAGCTGCAGAACCCTTTGTCCCCATTCCCATAAATTGTTTATGGATAGTCTTAGAGCAATTAACTTATACTCTTTCGATGATATAAACGTACAAGTTGACTTCCTTACGAATAATACGAATTATTTATTTGATATTCACGCTCCATTAAAGACAATCAGAATTAAGAGACCCCCAGCCCCCTGGCTTACCGAAAACCATAAACTTTTAATAACACTTAAAAATAGGTCACGTTTAAGATACAAACGTCTTAAGTCAGATATTTCTTTAAACGAGTGTGAGAGCCGCAAAGGGCATATTTGGCAAGTACATTTAATCCTAAAATACTTTGAGGGGACTTCGAGTGCCTATTTTAATGTATAAAAACAATTTTGGCCAACCTAATAGTTGTTGCTTTTATTTCTTTTGGAGCTGTTGGTGGTATTGATCCGGGGTTTGTGTCGGCAAATTATATTAATAAATGATTTGGTTCTAATTCATTCCGTTTTGCTAAAGTTCACCCTGAGGAATTTAGTAAAACTTTAATTAGTATTAAAACTAACGCTCATGGCTCAAACAATATTGATATAATAATGATTCTGTTGACTACTCCACATCTAGTCGATCATATCACTTTCCTTGCTGACAAGTGTCTGCTGACGGGGGTTTTATTAATTTTTTAATTTAAATTATACCCGTTCCAAAGAAAGAGTGTCCAAGTAGCATTAACGATTTAAGAGAAGAAGATTATTGAAAAAATTGCAGCTAAACAACTCGTCAGTTCCTATGGGATAACAACGTCCTCCCACACACTCAATCTGGTTTTCGACCTCTTCACAGCACTACTTCTGTCTTGCTTCATGTTACTGATTTATTGAGAGCAGCGGATTCTAAATTAAACTCTTGTCTCACACTCTTGGACTATAGCAAAGCGTTCGACACCTTTCTTTTTTTATAAATGTTCTTGGTCAGAGATATCAAATGGTAGTTATAGCAAGTACTCATTCAGATGCCATTGCTTGAAGACGGGGAGTATTCTGGGTCCCATTTTGTTCTCAGTTTATAGAGCTGACTTCTCTAATTTTCATGAATTTTACTAATGACTAATACGCTGATGATACTCAGTTATATTTATCTTTTGTTGCTAGTGAAGCTTTAGATGTCGCTACTAAAATAAATTTAGATCTAAAAATAATACTAACAAAACGCAGATGTTATTATTTGGAAATAAAAGGGAAGATATTGTAAAAAAACGCCTCTTTTAAGATTACACTAAATGATGAAATTATCTCTCCTTCTTCAGACAGGTGTAAAAATTTAGGATTATGATTTGACGGTGACTTGCGGTGTTACAAAAATCCTTCTATAAGTATTGTATATTCATAAACATTTTCTCAGTGAAGAAGTTAAACTTAAACTATGTGATAAGTTAGTTTTATCCCATGTCGCTTATTGCAGTATTGTCTATTGTCCAGCTATACTTAATCGAGATAAGGAGAGTCTCCAACGACTTCAGAATGCTCGTATTCGTTTTATTTACAATCTCAGAAAGTATGAGCATATTTCACAATGCCTCTCTGATTCGAGTTGGCTCAAGCTGGATGATCGATATAAAGTCCAGTTAGCCACTTTTGTTTTTTTTACTAAAATCCAATAAGACCCTGTCGTACTTGTTTGATAAACTTTGCGGAATAAATGATATTCATAATCGAGACACCCGCCATTCCTTATGATATAAAGTTCCTCCCCACAATAAAGACCCACCAGTAACTAGCAACTTTATGATGTGTGTCTATTTGTTCTGTTTACGGTGTATATATGGGTGTGTATTTTGTCGACAATTATGGTGTTGGTGCTGTTGTTTTTGTGGTTACATGGAAGAGCGCAAATTGCGAATGTCGCCACTCTTGTTACTTTCGAAAATCGATGAAATCGAATTTTCGAAAGTATCTGCGCTCGTATAAAAATTTTATATCTCCGTAACGGTAAGTCCTACGGGATCGCCGTTGGTACAGAAATGATCACCGTAGAAAATTTTTTTTTTGTCTGTCCGTTCTCCGTTCTCGTCTTTTGGTCTTTCCTGAATAACCTTCGAACCGTTGAAGCTACAAAATTGAAATTTGCGTCCTTTTTAACCCTCCACCAGGCACATAAGCTTGTAAGAAATGGCCCTGATCCGAAGTCGGTATCCATCTTTTTTTCGCGATTTTCGACTGTTTTTTGGCCCTATAAGTGTCCGAAATTTGAAGCCATGGACTTCATATTTGACACATATATGCAGCTTTGCGCCGCGACGGAACTTATTGAAAATGGGGGGGCTGGGGGGTCGGGAAGTATTTAAAATACAAATAAAAATTGCGTGTGCAAGGGTCTACAAAAACGACCATTTTTCAAAAACCATTTACAAGACCGGAAAAATTCTTGAACCAGAAGACGCAGATGAAACTACTCCATAAACTTTTGTTCTTGACAATTTTTCAAAAATATACAGATTGCGCCGAAAATTCAAAAAAAACTGAAAAATGGTTCCCCCTATTTTTGAAAATAGGCAATAATTTCAAATCTGTGTTTTAGATGTTTCTTTTACATGACGATATAGCCCGTATAGACAGCTTAAACTTTTGTATTTACGGTTTTTAAGTATTGTACAGGGTGTTCGCGATATTCCGTGCAATAATAAAAAACATAATAAGTACTCCAAATTTGCAGCTACCGACTTCAGACTTGGGAGAGAAGTTGAAGTCTGGACCCGCATTCAGACTCTTTAAATTGGGAGTAATAAAATAACGCAAAGTGTTTTTTTTTATTTTTGATTTTTTTTTTGTTATTTCGGCATCCAAAGAAACAGCTTTTCCTCCGAAGCCATTCATCCGATCACAAAAATTTTACATCCGTAATACGTGGGAGACCCGGCGCTATAACCTTTGTCTCAGGCATTTTTTAGATTATATGCAAGGTGTTATAGTTATAGACAAAAATCTAAAAGACCCTAAATATTGTTCTTTTAGAGAGAAAATTATTAACCGTACATCAAAATTCGTACAAACAATAGCTAATCCGTTCAAACAGTGTTATAGGCCGTTTCAAGGGCTACAATTTTTGTATTTACGGTTTTCGTCTATCACATACCCCGTTCGAGATATTTGAAATAATCCAAGTGAAAATCACTATTTCTCGCCCTCAATCTAGACGCGATGACGTCATTTAATATTACTACGTATTGCACGGTCTCAGAATACAAGTAGTTTTTTGAAGACCATGTACTCCGTTGGAAAAATTCGGATACCAGGAAACTAAGGAGATCCAGGGCTATATCCTCTATTTCGAACATTGTTGAAATTTTATACAAGGTACGTCATTTGTGGGAAAAAAATTCTAATAGATCCTAGAAATTTCCGCTTTTGTGGGTGAATTATTGGCGATACATGAAAAACTTTTAAGGCTTAATACTTTTACCGAAGTGTGCCGTAACTTCGAAGTTCGACGAGATGCGAAGGACACTTTATACAGGGTGTATTCACAATCAAATTACATCGATTTTGCGAAAGTTCCATAGTGGTCCGCAGGAGCAGGATAGTAAAACAATGCGTCCCTCTAGGACAAGAATCCGCGAATCGCCTTCTTTTTAAAATAAAAAGGCGATTCGCGCTATTTGCGACGAACTTGCCCCGCTCACCGACGATTTTTCGAAAGCAATCTTGTATTGTTACTTATATTGTAATATTTTTATTATTAATAAAGACAGTTTCCAAAGTGACAAGTTAATTTTGCTCCCTTTAATAATATTAAGCGGCTTGTAAGTTTTGTACCATCGACCACGTCACTGTAACGGTTGATACGTTTCAGGAATACGGAACCGCAGGTTGCAAACGGAGGCCCTTCAGCATTTGGTGCACCTGCTCCCGCCAGCGAACCGAGACACTTTGTACGCGCTGCTGAGTTTTTTGGCCACCGTCGCCAGGCACTCCGATGACGGAAAAAACGACCTAGGTCCTTGCGAATTTTGGAGACACTTGGCATTGAAACGAGTTAACCCGTGATGTAATTGCAGGAGAGGAAGTGGCCGGCAACAAGATGGATTCTAACAATTTGGCTACAGTATTTGCCCCCAACATCCTCCACTGCCTCAAACCCGGCTCCAAGGACGTAACAGAACGTTCGGAGGATCGTCTGGATGTGATCAATGTCGTGCGCATGCTGATCGACCACTTCAAACAGATATTCCTGGTACCGGCGAAGCTTCTGGACGAAGTTTACGTCCACATGATGGACTCGCATCCAGAAGAGCTCGACCAATTGCTGAACAAGAAGGACGGATTGGCCGGAGCTGATGAGTAAGTATAAAGATCCAGTTTTAGGTTTAAGCGGGGTTGATAAAAGAGGAAGTTCCGGAATCCGGCGTAAAAAAAAACTTTTTTTTTCTCATTTAACGCCCCGCACAAGCTACACAAACCAGGAAAGCCACGGCGTCCATCTTTTTTTTTAGATTTTCGTCTGTTTTTTGGACTTTGCTATGAAACACGATAAGTGTCCGAAATTTGAAGCTATCCACTTGAAATTTGACATACTTATAGAGTTTAGCTCCGTAACGAAGCCTATTGAGACTGGGGGGGGCTGGTGGTCGAGAAGTATTTTAAAAAATTAAAAATCGCACTTGCAGCGTATCGAGAAAAAAATCATTTCTCCAAGAAGGTATATACGACTGGAAAAATTCTTTAACCAAAGGACGCGCATATCCGGACCATGATTATTTTTTAAAAATGTACAGGGTTGGTCGGTAATTTGCAAAAAACTGAAAATTGATCTCCCTCTGCTGCCAGTTTTTTTTATATAGTTATATAGCCCGTGTGTATTTAAAGTTTTCACATACTGTACAGGGTGTTCGGGATATTCCGTGGTATATTCAAAAACGTCATAAGTGACGCAAATATGTAGCTAACGATTTTAAATTTGCCAAGGAAGTAGAAGTCCGTACCCACATCTAAATAGTAGAATTTGAGCGTAATCAAATATTACCAAATATTTTTATAAAAATTTTGAAAAATTTTCTTTGAATATTTATCCAGATAAACATGAATTTCTTAAAAACTATTCAACCGATCGGTCATGGTCTTAGATTTCTGGGTCCATTTTAAGAAGAAAACTCCTTAACTCTAAACATCGAACTGTAAGAACTCCAGAAATTGAAGAACCAGTTTTAAACTTAGTACTAGAAAAACTAGAAATAATCTCAATACCTCATATCATATTCAACTAGCCCAAGCGTTACTTCCCATAGATTTTCCTTGCGTGTTAATTTTTATCAATGGTTTTCACAATGAAAACTGCCATGCAGTTGTAGAAATCAAACATCAGGAACAATTTTCGGTAAATGTTTGGGCTAGAACTGTTTGGATTTGCCAATATTGCTAGAAGTATTATTAGGACTAATTAGGACTTTAACCATGGCCCCCTAGGTTCCCAGATTTAATTTATTTTATTTACTGGTTTATTGACAGAAAATTTTGTTAAAAATTATAAATATAAGATAGTGTTTTTTTTTAAATAATCGTTTATTATTTATCTTGTTGCTAGGATGTTATGTTACTTCATTAAAGCTGTAAAAGTAAAGAAAAGTGAAGGACACTAGTTGTTAACTAAAAACTGGATATTATATTTTAAGAGAAATCAGTGGCGTAACATCAATATCTGCCGAAATACACAGGTGAAATAATAATACATAGTAGAAGTGAAGAAGAAAATTTTAATTTATTTTTGAAACCTTTACCAACCTGTATCTCAAAAGTTTTTCTCAATATGAATATTTTTAATTTTTTTTGGTTTTTAAAAGTTTTATTATTTCTATGAATATTTTTAAAAATTCTAATCTTAGTTTTATGTGAGTCTAAAATTTGCCCGACGTTACCTTTAAAAGATTCTCCGTTTAAGTGCGATAGGGGCTTTGATACTGATGTGTTCTCGGATTTTGTAACGCAAATGTTCGTAATCAGGTCCGTGGACGAACTAGATAGCGAGACTAATTCCGCTCCATGGACTCCTACCCACCCGACTTCGGAGGTTTCATCGGAGCACGCCTTTGATCGAGCAACTGTGGCCTTGTACGAACCGAAAAGGACCTATTCTAGGGAAGAATGTCTCCATGAAGCCGCGGCAACCGGAGGTCCTAATATAGGGATGAGGATAAGGTATACTTCGACCAGAAATATAGTGCTTTTACAACCGACACCGTGACTAACTTTGCCTACTGTATTATAATCATGTCCTTTCGTAGCTCTGGTAGTTTTGCAAGATATGGTCTGTTCATAGATATAAGAAAGTGACCAATTGCTTTTGAATGGGATTATCCAATGCAACAAGATTATTACCTAAAATTTCGGAATTTAAATTCAGGTAAAATTGTGGTCCGTAACAGAAAATAATTTTATACCTATCTGTGTTTAATATTCTTTGGTTTGGTATACTACTTAGTTTAAGTTTATTAGTAATCATTCCTATTTCGTGTTTAATACAGAGTGTGTTGAATCGTGTGCGAATTATGCAAAATATGTGCGAGTCTAGTGTATCTCAGGAGATGCTCGCGCCCAAATGTAGAAAACACTATTCTATCGAGACTAAGGAAGTTATAAACAATGTTTATTTGACTCTCATTGTACGTGGTGCCGGCAAGCAAGCATCTTTAGAAGAAACGGCCACATTGACGAAAATTCCATTTGTAATTTTATTTTAGATTTAAACATAAGTACATACATAAATAAATAAATATTGTTTAGTATCTTTCCAAACAAAACCCCAAATAATTAAATTCTAAGCCGTTCGGCCATATTTCATTCTTACAGCTTGCCCGGGTCTTTCCTTAATTCGTATCAGTTAATCAATTTCTTATATCTATGAACAGACTTTACAAAGTAAAATGCGAGCCACTTTCAGTCGAGCTCTGAAGCCAACCAGCATGACGCCAGCATTGTTCATAAACCAACTCTCTTGATGGCTTCTTCAGAGCTTAGCTGAAGCCATATTCTGTGTCTCCAGGCACAAGGACAGGATCAAAGAACGCAGCCTGCGACGCAAACGGGAGAAAGGCGAAGACACTGGCTCTCCATCTTCCTCGCTGATATCCAGGATCCGGAACCAAAAGGACGACGAATACCAGTACACCAAGAACAACCGATCTTCGTCTCTGGAGAGTACGAGCTCCACCCACACCGACTCGGACGTGTCGCGAAGACGCTCTTCACCCTACGTTCTGGACAACGGCGGCGTCATTACCGCCAGCCTCACCATACCTGTACAACAGTCCTACAATGTCGAAGACGACATCCCCTTCATCGAAGAGGGCGGCGACACGGGGAGGCACCACGTCACGGTGGGAGTCGTCAGGGCGCCGCCCAGGAGGCGGAACGTGTCCGTAGGGAGCGACTCTTCCGTAGCTTCCGGAGTTCAACCCATCACCGCTTCCCTTTCGCTGGTTCAGAGTTACGATTCGGCAGTCGGCTCTTCCGCCACGTGCTCCAGCGGGGTGCAGAACACTCCGACGTCGGTGTCGAGCAGTATCGCCGACGCCGGCCTCAGTTCCCCGCCTTCTTGGGCTTCCACCCCGCCCACATCACCGGAAAGCGTTCACACCTCCGTGAGCTATATTCCGGAGTTGCCCAAGTCGCCGAAAGGTGGCGTCCCTCCAAAAGTATCCTTCGCCACTGTTAAAGATGGCAGGGGATACCAGGATATAAGCAAAAGCCCCAGCATCGATTCGAGACAGGAACCCAAGTACACGCCCAGCATAACGACCATCGGGAACGCGGTGATGAAATCGAAAACCGCGGACTTTGAAAGGATCATCAAGCCGAAGGCGCAGACTTCCTCGGAGAAGAAAAAGTACACCAAGCGGAGATACACGGATTCTAGGCACCCGACCAGGCATATCCCGGACTCGGAGTTCCTGGAATCTTCCGGTACCGCGAAGGGCGAGCAGAAACCCAGCGTGTCGCCCACGGGTCCGGTTTACAAGAGAAGGGAACTGATATCCAGCGTGCCTTCGAAGTGATTCGTGGGCGTTTAGGTCTAGTCATGTATATTTAGTGCTTAAAGTGTCCGTGAAGATATTTTCTAAGTGTAAACTTGTGAAAGAGACGCTGCGCGAATAAATTGTATATATTTGAGCGATGGTCTTTTTCCAGTTGTTTCAGTGAATACGAGACCAAGAACACCAGCATAATTCTAACCTGTCCAAGGGACCGTCCGAGCTAAATTTTTCAATGAAACTTCCACAGGTTACCGTAATACTATTTACAAATCTTCTGGATCCATTCTGCGTTTCACTTTTTACGAAACTTCTGGATTCCTCCTGCGTCGGTTTATGCTGAGTCGCGCTTGCTGACGTTTCGCCAAACATCCTGTTGGCTTCTTCTTCTGTATCTGCTTATATAATGTTTGTGGAAAACACCATCTCGGACGACCGACAGGGATGGGGGATCAGACGAACATAACCTCAAAAACTTGCCAGCTAACCAAAACTTGCAATTGCTACCGAGCTAAGCAGCATATTAAAATCGATGGGTAATTATGTCTTACATATGGAGGAATGATGAATAATTTTCTATGAAGATAATTGTCCGAAATTTGAATCTATGGATTTGAAATTTTGCACGAGGTTAAAGACTGGGCCCCTAACGGAACCCATTGAAATTGAGAACCACTTTTTTTTTAAACCAAACAAGGACTATATCTCGAAAAGCGTTTATCGGTTCTAAACAAATCTTCACCGCGAAGATGCAGAATATAAATGCAGGGTAAACATTTATTTTTTTCATTTTTTTTTTAAATATACAGGGTGTGCCGGTATTTCCAAAAAACTGATCCTTGTCATTCAAAATATGACATCTCTATACAGGCTGTCCCATAACTAATCCTACGTGGCATAATCGGCGATTCTTTAGTTAAAAATATTAAGATTTGACGAAACGTTAATATTCACAGAGATACAGAGTGTCAAAAGTGCAATCTCAGTTTTGATTTTTTTTTTAATAATTCCCGAAAAAATAAAGATTTTTTTACAATTACAAATTGAAGATTAATTACAGGTTCCTTAATCTTTTCGGGATATTGGCAAAAAAATGGTTTTATATATATATATATATATATATATATATATATATATATATATATATATATATATATATATATATATATATATATATATATATATATATATATATATATATATATATATATATATATATATATATATATATATATATATATATATATATATATATATATATATATATATATATATATATATATATATATATATATAATGGTATTCGAATACCTCCAAATTGGATAAAAAATTCAATCTTCTCGGAGAAACGTAGATATTAAAAACTAAAAATTTAATATTTTTGAAGGAAAACATCATAAATATGAAAATATTAAATCAAAAATATTAACCGAAAATCGGTGGCTGGGGGGGACATTATGGTATCTGCGGATAGATCTCCTCGATGTTCAGCTTCGATAAAAATTTCACCCTTCTCGGATCAATATAGATTGAGACATAACCTTAAAATCTCATTTTAAATGGATAAAACGGCTTAAAAATCAATGATCAATTTTGAACGTTTTATATCTTATTTATTTATAATTTTGAGAAATTGAAATTTATGCCTTAAATCTTCTTCTATCTAACGATATCATGAAGATTCACACAAGTTATATCTTATCTTATGTCTTCTTCCATAAATTTACTCCTACATTACTCAGATAGTAAAACAGAATTAGATTTAGGCATTTAGAATAAGAATCTAATTATGTATAGATATTAGGAGCTATGAATTTATTGTATACATTTAATGTCATAAATGTCGTGCAAAAAAACCCAGCTTAACTTTATACACTTTACTTTTAAAATTATCACAATAACCTTTAAGTGTACAATATGAAACATACAGTATCCCGTAAAAATATAAAATGGATGGAACAAATTAAAGCCCGTGGCTACTATGTACAATTAAAACCGCATAACAAAAACATATAAATATAAAAATATAGGGATTTTTGGGCCTAAATTAGAGGGCGCTTCGAGCGATTGTCGGACAAAAATAAAAGTAGAAATAAATAAATCTCTATCAGAAAATAAAACAAAACAATATTCAATTACCCAGCACTGCAATCATTTCGCGTCTATTGACGAATGTATGGAAGACACGCGCAAAACTCACTGCGTTAACAAAGAGTACAAATATTGGAGTCAGATGGCGAATATATTGAAAATATAAAAAAAAAGTTTTAGGCCTATAGGCCGCTATTTCTCGCCCTCAATCTAGACGCGATGACGTCATTTACTATTACGGCCTTCTGCATAGTTTCAGAAAACAATTATTTTCTCGAAAACCATTGAAAAATTCATGGAACAAGAAACGTGCAAGATTCAGGGCCGTAACCTTTACTTCGAATATTTTTTATGCAAAGCAAAAAGCCCCAAAATTTCCATTTTTGTTTTTAGGTCATTGACCGTAAATGGAAAACGTAAAAGGTTAAGGTAATCGGGTTTAAACAGCATCGGGAACTGTGTCGAGAGCTACAATTTTCTGGTTTACAGTTCTTGTCAATTATACCGGGTGCGCGAGGTATTTCAATGAAAATATTATTGAAAATTGCAAATACTTTTTCAAACTTTCTTGCTTGCTATAATATCAGGTAGTTAGTTAAGATTAGGACAGCACTTTATAGTATAGCGATATTAGAGATCTTTTCACTATTCATACGTAGTACGAGAGCTGCCTTTTATATTTCGGGATTTTCTTAAACTAGTAGCGCCATCTAGCGACTAACGTTTTTATAAGAAAGTTTGACATTTAGAGGTTAATTTTACTCAGTTAGGTTTTGGCGAAAGTGTTGTTTGTGTTTTTTGTGATAAATTTAAAAAAAAATTGACTATAAAAAATGTCGTATTTGTTAGTAGTTTATAGTTTTTTTATTACAAATCCCGAAATATAAAAAATAGCCCTGGACATCAGACAAAAACGAGAATCCTAACTTAGGGGCATTCACATAAACAGGATCTAAATCTATTGGTGTCAAGTCACATAATTATTTAAAGAAATCCGTACTTAATTTTTGCTTAATTTAAGGGCACACCAATAAATTATTATGAATTTAATTATTCAGTTGCCAGGTAAAAAATAAAAATAATTTTATCAAAGGAAGTAAATATTGGAAATAATATAATAATAATAATAATAATGGCTGTCGATTTTTGTAATATCTTTTCGAAAAAAATAGAGAAAAGTCACCAAATATGGAATAGTATACCTTAATATAAGTATGAAAAAGTATAAAAATTATAATATAATCTATTATATTTATTTCAACAATTTTTGATCTTCTGTCATTGAAATGGCGCGACTTGAAAAAATATTTAGACGAGTTTGAACTAGTATAAAAATCCAAATAAGGACAGTCTAATTATGGAATATTCTGCTATATTTCACTATTTCATTAAAAATATTATGTTATGTTTGTTTATAGAACGTCTGCTTCACTGCAACTATATTTCGTCTATGCAAAAAATCTGTCTCAAGGGTTTTACTGATACTATATGGACACTGTCGCCATACCCACAAAATCGATGTAATAGATATTCGACTGATAAATAAAAAAAAAACATTCTATAGTGAAGAAATAGTCATAACATCTTCACGCTACAAAAATGATTTAGTAAATAAAGCGATGAAGACACAAGAAAAAGAAAATAAGACAAATTGCAGTGACAGTTTGCTTGTGAAGAGAAACAAACAAAGAAGAACAATAAAAATGATAGTGAAGAAGAAGACTCTGAGGAACAGGACGTTTTCCAGTTTGATGAAGACAGTGAACATGATGAGTTGATGACTGACTCTGTTGATGCTGGATTAAATGCGTGGACTCTAGTCACATTATGATTATGTGGGACTAGACTTTGATATTTGGATCTGTCATTTTTGCAAGTGAATTAAGTAATTTAAAGGCAGATAACTACTACACATAAATGTATGACTGATTAGTAATAACATGAAACTGTTTTAATTTCTTTCTCTTTCCTCTATATATGGTGTTTCGAGATTTTCCAGTTTAAACCGATCCAAATATATTGATTTATTTCGAACATCCTTTAGCATCTAATTTAAATTCCGTTGCAATAAATTTTTCACGTCATTTTGGCATAACGTTAATGTCAAATATGTCTGGACTACCTTTAAAAATAACATAGTAAACAATTTTTTTTACGTGTCAGAACTAATATTTTGAAGCAGTTTGAAAGAGTTTTAAAAGAAATTCGAAACAAGATTTAAAGAGCGTATATTTTACTCGTCGCGCTTTTTTGAGTCACCGGGTATACTTTAAAATAATATTCAATAAAAATCTCCACGGCTTTTGCCTTAATTATTACCTCGTAAATTTTGAAACAATTGAGATCCAATTATCCAGGGACGGATTCGCCATCTGCCTCCCAAAAAAAAACCATAATTTCAGTTAATACTTACCATGAAAACGATAAAAATCACAACGTTGATTTCAAACTTGGACGGACTTGTTCAGGTCGTGTTTTCGTTCGCATCTTAGGCGAGTAGACTCATTTAAAAATAGAGAATTTAATTCCCAAACTCACTAAATATAAAATACATAAAAACGTAACATCCGTGTCGTATTATTATAAAAAGAAGTGCGGAACCAACGTATTACGTGGTGCGAATAGATTTTCTTGTTTTAAAACCCGGAATGTTAGAATATTTTAGAATGTTTCTTATATCACAGATCTTATAATATGCATCCTGTAACGCTTAGAGTCTAGACCTCAGTACTGTGGGTCTGGATCCGAACTTTTTTTGTACTGCCGTTTCTGGATAAGGTGGGCGAAGTTCCGGAATATCCCGGATTCTGTATACCCAACCCGTCCTTGGGCTTGGGTTTCTTGAGGCTCGATCGAAGGGGAGGCGATCGGCTCATGCCCACAGACGACGAACCTACGGTCGAACCGTTGGTCGAGCCTATGGTGGTGGAGGTGGTGTTCATAGACGCCATACTTCCGTTAGAAGCGCCCGTGTATGGCTTCCCACTCGCGTCCGTCATTGATATACCAACTCCTAAGTAAATAAATACATAATTAATAAACAATAAATAAATAATAAATAGATAAATAATAAATAAATAATAAATAAAAAACTAAAATAAAATAAATAATAACTAAATAAATAAATAATACAGTCATACCAGATGGGCGGACATTTTCAAATGTAACTAAGTAAATAAGTAATATTTTTGGTAAAACAGTTTGTGAGCTTTCCTTAATTCTCGACAATTTTCTCTTGTCAGTGTGTTGTAAGACGGAAGATCGAGATAAAATATTTTGAAAATACGCACAAACTCGATATTTGGTTTTGATTGTTAGTGGGGGAAGGTACGGAAATGTCCACCATTTCTAACTACAATTACATATAAATTACAAGTACGTATGAAATTACAAAACAGAATGAATGATATACATGTATTCTAACGGATTATTTTACATTAAGTTTCGTAACTGTTTTTTTAAATGTAAGGTAAAATTTGTACATGAATCAAGTAACTTTGATTTGAGGCCGCTATTTAAGGAGTTGAACAAGCTTATAGCTTTTGTTTTGTGCAATGTCATAGTGAGTAATGATTGGTGTCTTAGATTCAAGACATGAATGGATTTCCTAAATACTAATTTGTCATTCAAGTATTTTGGAATGTTGGAATTTATTACAAGGTTCAAACAGCATAAAAAGTTGTATTTGAAAACATCTTTGATTTTTAACCAACTCAATCTTTTGAGAGCGGCGGATATGTGGTCAAACTTTTGTAGGTTAAAAATAAAGCGACAACAAATATTTTGGATTTTTTGTAGACGATAAGATGTAACAGCGTCCAAACAGGGGTAATGTCAAAATAAGACAAGCGAGAGGGGATAGGACTTTGATACAACTGTAGTTTCTATTTGACTATAACAATTTTAAACTCATATAACATTGTTTGGAGATGTGCTGAACATAATTCAAGAATTTCATATTTTCGTCAATATATAGACCCAAATTTTTAACAAATTGCACAACTTGAATAAGATTGTTGTCAACGTGTAATATCATTTTGGACTTCAAACTGTTTCTTTTCCTCCCAGTAGACCCTGTAATGCACATCTTCTAGTGTTGTTTGTCGCATGTACTGATAGTACGGCCCTTTATCTTTTATAAGGCCGAGTTTGTGGCAAATCTCGCTGTGTATTATTTTTGCAACGTTGTTGTGCCTGGTCGTAACTCACGCGGTACCATCATTTTGCATCCACTGGGTGTTCTATGTTTTCGTGACCCACGCCACACACACGACATCTTGTACCGGTTATTCTATCGTCGTTAACGATGCATTTCACGTAAGACTTTGTAGGGATGATTTGATCTTGTATTGCACATAAGAATCCTTCCTTCCTTATTAAAAACGAAAAACCATTTTAACAAAAATCGATTGAGCAAAAAATTTGGGAGCGATCTTAGATTGTGATCTAAGGCATATTTCTCACTAAAAATCTTATACAGTAACAGGCATATTTTAAGACTAAGGAAACAACTATGTGAGTCACTTGTTTTCTCACATTTCGATGCGGATCTCAACCATGGCCACCCGGATCCCCAGATTTAAATAGTTTGGACTTTTTCTTATGAGAGTGTCTTAAAAGTTTGGTTTGTCGCACCCCAGTTAACACCGTAGCTCTTATACATCCTTATAAGAGCTTCCTGCGCTTTAATAAGAAATGCTGGAGGTACACGTCAAAGAGATTGCACTGAGGTGGCTTGTACTCGACGAAAATCCATTTAACAAAATAAATAACAACAAAAAGTTTAGATTTTCACGAAATTATATATTTTTACATGACAATTGTTTCGACGACACCTTGTCTTTATCATATGTAATATTTACAAACTACCTGCTACTATATATACCAAAAAATGACAATAAAACCTTAATTAATGTTGTTGTGAGAATTTAAGTTTAATAATGGACAGGTATTTAAATCTAATTGATCGTTAAGCCATACATTTGAATGTCTTATTTTGTTAATCTCCATGGCTTCCAATAAATTTAATTTTGTGGAGTATAATTATAATCCGGACTATTGTTTTTAAACGCCCTTTTATGTTCGTTAATGCGTTTCTTAAAGGATCTACCTGTTTGTCAATATAAATTTTAGGACAAGATCCGCATTTCAACCTGTAGGTTTTTGAGATTGTGGACTTTTCGTTTTATTGTTTTTTAAAAATGTTCCTATTGTGTTGTTAGTTCTGAAAGCTATTTCTAAAACAACTTTTTGACAAATGTTTTGAAACTTTTTCACTGGGTTCTCCTATGTATGTAATTGTTTTAAATTCTTCATGTTCTGTATTAGGTTTCGGATAAATACAGTTTACTGTTGTCTGGATTTGTTTTTATACTTTTTTTTATACTTATACTTCAAAGAGTGCTTGACAATTTTATTTTTCACAATAATTTCTTGATTTAACAAGTCAGTAACGACTCGACAGTCGCCATTATCATTATCTTTTTTTTTAGTCAGTCGCACTCAAATACAGATATTACAGATATTAAAAAAATAGACTTTATTTTTGAAAACTTGACCTCCCTGTACCTCAAAAGTTAAGACATATGAAGCTTTCCTTCTAAAAAGCATCCAAAAATGGCTTAATTACGGACATTGAATTAGAAAACACCCTGTACAAGGAGGTACAGAACGGGAGTCATATTAAGTTTAGAAGTCAAGATGATGAATTGTAAATAATTTGTAATAGTATTTATTAAAATGGCCAGTACAAAAACTGTACATCAGCGGACATAATTCAGTACTTGACACTCTGTATATTGGATTTGCCGCTTACCATTAGTTCCCCTATCTCTATACCCAGGGTTACCGTAAGTGGTTGGTTCGACAGGTACAGGAACGTTGGTAGGATCCCCGCCTTCTCGTCTCGAAAACAACATGTCGTACAGCGCCATAACGAACAACGTGGCATCTATAATTATTGCTAGAACCTGGAACAAAAAACACGGTATAGAATTGCCGATTAATATGAATATTGTTGTATATTATCGCGCCAACGAACCAAACAATATGCAACCATCAATACGCGTTCGAGCAAGCTTTGAGGTCGCGATCCATAGATGGCGTAGGATCTTTGTTAAGTTGACGATATGATCCGTCCGTATCTTGAATCTTTTCCTGATATTCATTTGTGTCCATGACTACCGTAGCATTTCCTTTATCACGATCACGATGTCTGGATTGGATTTTAGAGATTTTAGGACGATGCGTTCAGGCTTTGCAATATTGGATTGAGAAGGTTTTGATTTTTTAAGGATTTTTGCGGATTCAAATCGAATTTCATTAGCCGTTTGAGATGGCAGTTTGGTTAGGATAGACTCGACATTTGAAATGATTTCCTCTTTTGGGATAATACGTGGCGCAAAGTTGGTGCAATGATACATTCATTACAGTGTTTGGTAGTTTAGAACGGCAACACTTATTTGGGACACCCTGTATAAGCTGAGCCGAATCATCATCATCATCTTCTTAGTCTGTGGTTAAATTTTCGTTGCAATACCGGGATCAGTAGCGTCACAACACAATTTTATATGAACTTTTGTACGAAATTTGTTTTCGTATCTCCTATGCGTTTCCAGATCGTATAGTGGATCGTTTTATTTGGGACATGGTGTACGTATATAAAAGTGAGGAGGTGGCGACCCCGAAAAATGAAAACGAATCAAGCAGAAACATGTTTACCGTACGTGTGCGGGTCCGTTTTGTTGTATCCCGTTACCCCGCTATCGAGTGAGGGTAAAAATCCACGTTCGCTATCTATCTAAGAATCAATGAAATGTACACTTACTTGGATGTAAAAGGCGGGCCCTCGCGTCACTTCAAAACCATTGTTTCGGCTTCCGCCGTCAATTTGGACGGCGAAAACGATGGCGGTCGCAACCGCCAAGAGCGCTGAAAAGTTAATATTAAGAAAAGAGTCGTTTCAACACGAACATTTTGCGAGATGGGTACAGGTCGACAAAACCGACCATAATAGACTAGTAAGGAATAGGAAGGAAAGGTCTTACCCACAGAAAATTGCGAAAATATAATTCAATCATCATTTTTTTGTTTGTTTCTTCGTTCTCTGTTCTCTGCTACTGTCTAAACGGGGCCTTAATTGGTTATAAGTTTGCCACGCAGCCTTCAAATCTGGCTTCTTTCAAGCAGTCCATGAAAAATGGCCGCGGTCGAAGCTCGGCGTCCATCTTTTTTTTTCATCTTTGACATCTTGAGCACAGTTTTTCGGCTATACAGAATTTTCATTAGTTTTTCTGTTTTATTTTGAATATGTACCCTGTACAATTTCGAAAAATGGCCAGAAACAAAAATTTATGCAGCAGTTAATACTTCCGGACCCCCCAGGCCCCCCAATCACAATGCGTTTCGTCGGGGGACCGACAGCTACTTGCTGGCCAAATTTGAAGACGATAGCTTCAAACTTTGGATACTAATCGCGTTTCATTGCATGTCCAAAAACATCAGAAAATAGAAAAAAAAACAGATAGCCGAAGGGGTTCAGCGCGTCCATTTTGTATTGCCCTATGTATCTGATGGATTGTTTAAAAAGAGCCAAATCAAAACGCCGTAGGTCAAACCATTTGAAAGTTACCACCATTTAATGGCGCGCCTACAGAGATACGGGCAACAGAGAACAGACATCGGTTCCTTTCGACGCTGGTTCCATCTGGACCAATGGCGACGCTGTACGACGCTCCGTTGCCAAGCGGGTATGCTTTCGAAAAATTCGATTTCAAGGTGATTATACAACGGGAACATGGATAAACATAGCGAGGGGTCGAGAAGAATGGAAACAACTCAATTTGGGTGAAGAGAATGAAAAAAAAATTGAAGAAATGGTCCTTTCTTTATGGAATACAGTTTGTTTTAATTTTAATTAATTAATTTTATTTTTTTCGACAAATAACAATGAATATTATTATAAGCTGGAGGAAAATCGTTATACCTGCCAAAAGTGCCAGAACGACTTTCGTAATCAAAACCGCGCTGTACTTCATAACCACCTTTTCTTTGGAACTGATCATGGCCAACTGGAGTACGGTGAGTATGCAAAACACTCCCAAGATGGCGACGCCCATAGACGCCATCACGCCAGCTACGTACACCAGAACTGCAATAAAAAGTTATTTAACATTATTTATACAACCAACCATTTGTATATTGGACTCAGTTTATTTGGGGTATGAAAAAAATTTAACAGAGCTACCCGCGAGTTCTAAATGGGAATATTTTCATTAATTAATTTTAAGCACACGTGGTGGCTTCAAAAATTACTGGGCTTAAACTTAACTACGATTAACAATAACTGAATAAAAACGCTACTAAAGAGAATTACTTTGGCGATGGGTAAACATAATATTATCCACCCCAAATAGCTTGGTCAAAAAATGACTTTACATATTTCATCTCGTCTTTGATTTAATATTATTAGACTTTTCTCATTACATGGTGGAATAGGTCTATTTCTACAAACAGAATTTGATAAGTACAATGCATTTTGATGAAGTTTGGAAAAAAGAAAGTATGGACCAACCATGGAAGAATTTAGGTGAATGTGGAGGGAAGAAATTCCAAAATAGATACTCCTCGTTTGATGATCGGAAACGAAATGAAGAGACAATTTGCTGGTCCTACTCTAAGCGTATTTTGTTTTATTTGTTTTTGCATTCTTTTATAAAACTAATGTAATTGTTTTTTAATTTTTCGATAGCATTTTTTAATGTTAGTACATTAATATTTTTGTCATACATGGCAATATCGAAAAAGTATATATGAAGGCTGGCACAAAAATTAGACGAAGAAATCAACGCCACAGCAGAAGAAATGTATGTAAAAGTCAAAATGCACGAAGCAAGAAAACAAAAAACAAATCGTGGGAAAATAAGTGTGCTGAAATTAGTTCAATGGTATTAGCGTCTAGGTCTAGAGCTGCTTGGAGAACTATAAACAATCTAAAAAGTAACATAAACGATGAGTATTTAGAGACTCAACTGAACATAAGCAGTAGTAAGAGAATATATAAAAAAGGAAACAGAAGCGACTAACTGTCGAGGTATTAGCATTACGTCTTCCATCGGAAAGCTATATGAAAGAGTACTTACGAGGTTAGCGCCAAAATTTCCCGGCCTGACATTATTGTTGCGATTGCGGAAGAGGTGGTATTGAGTGATCGACGTTTAAAGGTCAAGGAAATCTCAGAAATTACTAAGCTTTCTGATACAATTGTTCGTCGAATCCTGCATGATCATTTAGGTAGGCATAAGGTTAGTGCAAGATAGGTTCCTAAAAACCTTTCGGCTATTCAAAAACAACGCCGTGTCGAGTGGCGTCGTAAGGGTGAAGCACCTCCAAGAAAATTCAGAGTCTGCCAAGGTGATGGCCACAATCTTGATAGATTTTAAAGAAACTAATACCACTGTCAATAGTAAATATTACGCAACATTGTTACATAAGCGGCGAGACTGCATACGTGTAAAATGTCGAGGAAAACTGACCAGAGGCGTGCGTCTTTTGCACGATAATGCACCTGTCCATACTGCTGGTGTTGCACAAGCTGCCATTTTAGAGTGTGGGTTCCAAAAGATCATTCTCCTTCTAGTCCAGATATGGCCCCCAACATGTATTATTTGTTTGGATATTTGAAAAAGGACTTACGTGGACGGCGGTTTAACGACGAAATTGAGTGTATTGAAGTTAAGGGGGATTATATTGAAAAATAATTAAAAAAATGTTACTCTACTTTGTTTCTTTCATATTCAGGTCGGGAAATTTTGGCGCTGCCCTCGTATATACAATCCACTTCGCAGACGTTCAGGTTGTACTGACAGAAGATCAACAGGACATAACTTACATGATAAATAAACTCATTGAAGAATTCACCAAATGGGGCCTAGAGATGAAGATTGAGAAGACAAAATATACGAATATAGGAGGCATAATATAAAAAACGTTGGGCAATACGAATACCTGAGAGCTACAATAGATGAGAATGGAAAGGACAGTTAGGAGTTACTAAAGAAAATAGGAAAAGGAAAGAATATGA